CCCGAGGACTCGGCTCCCCCGGTCCCAGGGACCGGTCTCCGGATGCGAGCCCGATACTAGCAGTTTTGCTTAATGCTAGTCGCGCGGCTGGAATATTTCAGGAAACAATTAGGAACACACTCGCTCCAGCGAGTAAAATCTGGTTTATCGTGATTTTGTGCCACAGCATGCGACATAACTGCTTTGTTTTTTTCTTTTTTCCCCCCAGGATATCTCCTTTCCAGAAGCGGATATTGCCATCCCATTATTTCTGAGTACCTCTATGGATATGCTGTTCCTACACTTCACGAGTGGCCTCATCAGAACGTCTCCAGCGTGCTTTTGAAACATTGCTGTCATCTGGTCCGTAAGCCCTGCAGTCTTACTACATCCTTGAAATTTATCGTCAGTGAAGGTTTTAATACTTCTTTAAAAGCTTTCATCTTGGAAGCACTTATTATTAAATCAGTGGGAATGCTGCTATGCTTAAATACCTCTTGAAATCGCAGCCAGGGTACCCATCCTGCTTGCTTTTTAGTGCTTTTGATCTGCATGTTTACATGCAGCTCTCCAGGAGTATTCACTGATGGCATGTAAATGGAGCAATGCTGCAGCTGGTGGTATGTAAATACTTTCCTAAATTATGCTGCAGTTCCAGAAAACAGTATTCCACAAATGTTGTGGTATAGTAGAAGTAATTTATCTACTTAAATGTGTAAATGTGCTAAAAGTGCTAAGTGTCTCTGGAAATTAACTTTCAGATGGTCCATATTTCAGCTGGACCACCTACAATATTCCTGGAGACACTGTGGGTTATTTGACCTCCCCTCAAAATTCTTTGATTTGTCAACAGAGGGTGGAACTAAACAGCACCACAAAATCCCTGGAGCACCTTACTAAGCAGTGACATGAGGCAAAAAGTGCTGATTAGCCCTGGATTGCCAGAAATGGCAAAATGAGACCAAAATTCCAACTCTAACCTATGTGAAAATCCCTCATTTGTAGTATTTGTAACTAAGTGGAAGAGGTTTGTTTTCAGTTAAAAAACAATTCATTTAGCGGTTTAATGGTTCAAATTAAGGGTGGTCTTTTCAATATCCCAAAATTATTCTGAGAACAAACTGGAGCATGTTTTGGAA